ACTTATAATGGTAAGGGAATATTTGTATCTTTATATCTGTTAGGGAAATAACAATTTAAACAGATTGGTTTTATTTAAAATTACATGTATATAAAACTTTATAGTGTAATTTAAAAAATGATGATGCACATCTATTTATATTAAATAAATTTTTACAAATTTTATTATGTTTGTTAAATCAACTTGTGGTTATCTCAATTGTAATTACTAATTATTATATCTATGCTTTGAACACTATTAATCATTGATCATGTAAAGTTGATATTGATCATGATGTATATTGATCACATTTAAATGTCCTGTAATGAATAAATATTTATAAATTAATTAAATTATAATTTTGTTAAATTATTTTGTTTTTAATACTGTTGTGCAAAGAAACCTAGTATAGTTAGTACAGCCTATAGTTAAAAGTATTAAATTCATTATAACACAAGAACTTAGTATTTAAGTGGTTTAATGTGTATTTGTTGGTCACATCGTTATAATTGAATTGTTGTTGTTTTTGTTTTCGTGACGAAGTGTTTGTTTAGTTAATAGAATATAATAATAGCCATACTGTATGTGCCATACAATACCGTATAATAAGACAAAAACACAATTGTCATAAACACTTTTGTTAAGCTTTTAATTAAGTATTTTGCAATTAAATCTATCATATTTATTGAAATGGTCTTAATATGGCCTGCACATAAAATATAATTAAATTCGTTATATTATAGCGCATGAAATATTTAAGTAGAAATGTAAAATATTTTTAAGATAAAAATTTAGTTACACAATCAACTTTAACAAAATAATACCCTTTTTGCATATATGTCTAATTAAATTAAAATAATTCCTTATTCAACAAAAAGGATATATACGTTTAGCTACAGATATTTACCAAGTTCCACTAGAATTGCGATTTAATTTATAATTAATTATTTTTACAGTATAGTTTATCAATTACTGTTATTTATTGCTTTTAACATTTCATTAAGCCAATCATGCACCACTTAAATTGAATGGTCAATAAATTAAGTTAAAGTACATACGACAATAAATTATTTATTACAATCGGATTATAGGCTGTACTAACTATACTAGGTTTCTTTGCACAACAGTATTAAAAACAAAATAATTTAACAAAATTATAATTTAATTAATTTATAAATATTTATTCATTACAGGACATTTAAATGTGATCAATATACATCATGATCAATATCAACTTTACATGATCAATGATTAATAGTGTTCAAAGCATAGATATAATAATTAGTAATTACAATTGAGATAACCACAAGTTGATTTAACAAACATAATAAAATTTGTAAAAATTTATTTAATATAAATAGATGTGCATCATCATTTTTTAAATTACACTATAAAGTTTTATATACATGTAATTTTAAATAAAACCAATCTGTTTAAATTGTTATTTCCCTAACAGATATAAAGATACAAATATTCCCTTACCATTATAAGTTATATCATATCTAATACTGTGTTAAACCAAATCATGAATTTTAAAAGATGATGGTACTTTAGTACAATAAATAATAATGATAGTACACTTATTCCCAATGCCAGCCATATCAGTGGGAGTGAGCGCGTGGACACTTGTGGCCATATCGTTGGAAAGGTATTTCGCAATTTGTCAGCCTTTGAAGTCACGCCAATGGCAGACATTGTCGCACTCGTATCGTGTGATTGCTGTCATCTGGTCCGCCAATATTGTCTTCATGAGTCCCATTGCATTCCTCAGCCAACTGTTGCCCATTCAAACTCCAGGCATGTATTAGAAGTCATTTATAACATTGCACACCCGAATTGACATAAAATGTTACTTATATAAATATTGTCATAAATTTCTCATTAACTTGTAATATATTTGAATGAATGGCAAATCCAAAAGTAATTGTAAATAAAGATAATTAGATTATCTTTATAATTAGATTATGTGAAATGTTAATTAAGGCTGTTTAATGATAAAATACAACTACTGTATAATGATGTAACATGAGATGAATGTAACATAATTTGCATACCATTAGGCAAATACAAGTGTCGAGAAGTGTGGCCGTCGGACACCAGTGAAGAGTTATTTAATGTAGTGTTAGTGGTGTTGCTATTGATCGTACCGTTTATTATACTAGTGCTCACATATACTCTGGTGAGCCGAGAGTTGNAGATTTCATTCTACTCATTTCGTTTAGAAGGTATAACGATTTTTGAAGCAACAATAGTTGGCTGATTGGAGAGAGAGAGAGAGAGAGAGAGATTTCAAATTAAAATGGATGAATAAATGTCATAGGTATAGATAGTATTTAGTTATAATTGGTAAAGTGCATCCTAATTAGATATTTATTTTATTGGCTAAATATTAAAACACATTCTCGACATTTATTTATATAAATAATAGATTATTACAAACACTCTCAGAATAAGGACAACCAAACAGAAACTGCATTCAACGCAACTATAGGTAATTATATATCAATTTATCTAAAATTGCAATTAAAGTACAGTATTATTGACTTTATTAATATTTTATATAATTATAAAATAAATATTTTATTTAAACTAGTACATACATGTATGTATGTATTTTAAACGTAATGTCAAATAAACGTAATTAATATTAGAGTTTATATACAAATATCAAATTCATTTTAATCTTTAGCATTTAATATGCAATTCAATAGAGAATATTCTGCGAACATTTTTCACAACATCAAAGTGTATAAAAGTAAAGAATATTGTAAACGGAAACACATTTTGATAAATGATTTGAAATACACATAAATATGAATGTTATGAATAAATATATAGATATTTGTGAGAGACGTCTAACAGTAATTTGATTTGTGATGCCTTCAGGTGTGATGACTGCCGGCGCTATATTCGCGACCACAAAGAGACTGATGGCAGAGGAAAATGGTTTTCACAAAAGGATTTGGTTTCAGCCACGCGTTCATACATCTAATATCCCATCTTTTATATAATCGTATATTAAAAACTGAACAATTTTTTATTGATTTTGGTTATTCAATATTATTATGTTTTTACAACATTTACAATCTTAAAAATATGAAAAATAAATATTTTCTTTGGTATTATTATTAAATATTGTATTAATAACGCATGCTGCACATTGTTCTATGATGTTCTATATAGAACATATCTGTAATATGTTTTGACAAGTACTTTCAATTGTGAGTACATTGTTATTATACAAGTTGTATAATTCAACATAACTTTCATTTTTAACTTTTTAATTGTATTATTGATAATTCACGAACAGGAATCACTAACAGTAAGATAATAATTATATACATTTTACACAGAATTGGAATAAATTCTACTAAAATAGTCACTTGTCCTGAATAGTCCACTACTCTATTACTCGTTGTCTTTACCCTATAAGATAAGTTAAAATATTTATTAAATGTAATTTATGTAGTAGTATCATATTATTAATATTTAATGTTCGTCATTTTTTATTTTTGAAAAATATCTTCCAGGAAAATAGTTTTGCGCCCAAAATAAAGTCTCCTTCCCACACTTTTATATTTTCCGTAATTTCCCTCTATTTTCCCTCCCGGGAACATGGAATTTTCAAATTATGACAAACATTATTAATATTATAAAATAATTATGATTATATGGATATTTTAATTTTGTGAATTGAACTGAATTTTTAATATTACAGGAGAAATTATAATTTTTAGTATATTTTATCTATTTTATGAATTTATTTAGTAATTTTCTTTTGGATTTAAACAATGTCGGGGAGAGAGAGAGAGAGAGAGAGAGAGAGAGAGTAAAATTTCTTAAAGGCATACATTCTAATAAGATTTACTTTTTTATTTTATGGTTGAAAACCCAATTCAATAATATTTTCAATTATAATAATATTATAAATAAAAATATTAATATATGACACGAATACTGTGCAGTTAATGGAGAATAAAATGTTATTCAAAAAATATAAACAAGAATTAAATTCAAAAATAAGATGATTTTAATATTAGTGCTGTATTTATTCAACATTACAACATACTGTACATATGCTATAGTATTATATTTGTTTAGGAATTTTTTATGACTTAAAATATCTACACAAATATCGGTAGTCAATCCAATTGGTGGCGAATGCTCGGTGTTTTCGCATTTGATTCCCATTATAATTAACGCCACAATAACTACTTATAAATACATAACTATTTTGAATAATTAGAGATAAGAAACTAATAATGAATTTTAAAAACTAAATAATCATTTCTAACATGTATTTTGTAAAAAAATTTTGATTTCAAAATTAGGAAAATTTTTGTGGAATATTTGTTTATAGATTTTTAACAAAATATATTGATTCATTTAAAGTTAGTTTAAAATTTACTGTAAAAATTATTTCTCCAATCTTTATGAAACTCTGTTTGTGGTGCTTAACTTAAATTACAAATTAAAATTATAAATTACAAATATTCTAATGCTCTGGCAAATCTACTAATATATTTATTTTTGTAGTTTAATATTAAATTGTCTATCAAATAAATTATCGTCATGTTTAATATTTTGTTAGATTTGTTTTACATTAAAATTTAGTATAATAACTTAATTTCAGTATAAAAACTAAAAGCCTATAAATATCAAATAATTAAAAAATATTTATTGTTATATTATTTCTTACAATTTTTATACCAACAAAACATTTACAATTTATTATCCCAATGTTATTAATTAAAAATAATAACTAATAATATTGTACATTGAAGTAAATATTTATTTTAAAAAATGAAAATTAATTAAAATAAAAAATTTTATTTATTTTTCAAAAAGAAAAAGAGACAAATGTTTTATTTTTAATATAATATATAAAGAAATGTTTTGTTAATTGAAATAATAAGACACTACTTGTCGTACAGAATAGTATGGCATTTATGAACACAAAGAAAACACAATATATTTATTGGAAATAATAATATATAATAATAATTATTGATTAAAATAATCTAATGATCGCTTGTGTATGACTTGAACCACTTTCCCAGCGCTAACAATAGGTTCTGAGCGGGCGTTAGAGTGGGGTTGGAGTCAAACTCCTGGACCTCTGTGTAGCCGTTGATTGTCGTATTGAACACGTAGTGAGGTTTAGGTGTCTTCACGCGCCTGATGTCTACGTCAAGGCCCGGCAGTGCCGTAATCCTGACGTTGGCCTCGTCCTGACGAGTCAAATAAGCGGTCACCTTGGTGCTCTTCTGGGGCTCCACTTTGCGCGTAGTCACTCCATCCACTTTCAGGTACTTCTTGGGCACCCACTCCACGTTGGCCGAAGAGTCGTACCGATCCGACGTGTATTTCCACACCAATGTCTTGGGCTCCACCAACGGGTTGATCGTGAGGTGAGCGTTGCGTTTGGGTGTCACCAAATGCAGCTCAGACACGATATGCCGGCCAAAAGTGCCGTCCAATTTGGTGTCCTTATCGCTGACCGACTTTATGGTTAACACACCATTCGACACATTGAAGTGAGACTTGTGCTCATAATTGTCCACTTTGTTCACGAAACCCAATTTGCCGAACCGTTTGCCCTCCCGGTTCTCGCCCTCCAAGACGGCCGAGTATTTACTGGTGTCCAACACAGCGCCGTACACACCCTTGTCCTGGAAGTACTCCAACTTCGACACATCATCGGGTGATTTGATCTTTTTCAGTATAAAGTATGATCGCTGTCGGGGCGCGCACTGGGCCTCAAACGTCAGGTATGGCTGGCCGTTGCGGTTGGTCTTCGAGTCCCACGTGAACTTGCGGTCCACCTTATTGTAGACAATGTCGCCGGTGTGGTCCAAATTGTACTTGGGCGATTTAAAGTCGAGATGAGCACGTTTCTCTTTCAAGCCGTACGGATCGATCCACGCGTTGAGTGCCCCGCCATTGGCCCGAACCATATTTATGCTCGACTTCTCTTTACGCGATACTCTCACTTTGAACTGCAAATTAATTACATTATTAATACAATTGGTTAATGAAATGTTGAGACGAGTTGTTGACTAGTGTTGCAAATGAATACCTCTTTCCATTGGGAATTCTCTGCGGAGTCGAGTTTGAGGGAAATGGACTCTTTGGGCACTCGATTAACGCTGAATTTGTATGACTTCTGACCCAAACGGAAGCCATAATTGGCTAATTTCGGGTTCATCACGTTGTCTACCTTGAGGTCCAGCGCCCGGTCGTGGAACTCGCACGTGGCCTGAGCCTGGAGAGCACCCGTAGCCTTATTGTACTGGACGTCCACGTGATTCATCTTCTTGTCGTTGACGAGCAAAACGCGCCGATATTTGAAGACATCGGGCTCTGACCAGCCCGACTCCAGTGTCACCGCTTTGGTGTCCGTTTTCCACGAGTACGAGATCTTAGCCTCGGATTTCACAAAAATGGCTTGCGTTGGGTTTGTAATACTGAATGCAAATTAGAAAACAATATATCAATCCCTGTTATTCATCACTAGTGTTGACCCAAAGACCTACCTTTCCTTGTGCTCAATGGTGATGAGTTTGCCTTTGGATGGCGAGTAGATGATCTTGCCAGAATAGGACAGATCCTTCACCTGTTTAATGTCGGAATAGTAGGTCACTTCGTTGCCCGGATAGGCGAGTGTGGCGTTCAGTATCTGTTGGTGGGGGCCGTCGAGGGACTCGTACTTGAGATCTCCCCGTATTTCCCGATTGGGTCTTCCGGTCACGTCCTTACCGACGAGTTTGAGGTTAAGCAGTCGCGGCCGGGATTTAATCATCGCTATATCCGTATTGATCTTGAGATCGTAATTGATGTCGAGTGGTGTGATCTCCACCACGTATTGGTGCTCCTGAACCATCTGCAGTGGCCTCAACTCAATGATGTCCATTTTGGACACAGCGTTCACACGGATCTTGTCCTTCAGCTCCGGACCCCACTCCACGCTGACGTCGGTCTTCATGTTTTGGTACGGCTTATACACCCAATAGTAGGACACCTTTGAGTTATAGGATGGGTATTGTGTGGACTGGAGTTCGCCGAACAGCGATATCGTCATCTGTTTGGCCTTTTTGTCCTTCTTGTTCTCGTACGACGACTTTCTCGTCCACCGCAGGGTTTCCACGCGATCCGAGTGCCCGCACTTGTAGGTCACCAACACGTCTACGTTGGACTGATTGCCCACTTTCTCCACATTGTATTTGGTGTTAACGTCGATCACTTCGGGTACCTTCAGGTCGACCTCCATTTTGGAGACATCGCCGCCCTGTTGTCGGTCGAGCGTCACGTCGGCAGTACTCGTACGTCGAGGCGATTGCAGTTTGAGTGACAATTTCTTGGGGTAAACGCCGGACGGGTTGTTCACATCGATTTGTGCCACGTATTGTCGTTCACCGGCACTCACTTTGGCCGTCCACGTCCTCTGGTCTGCGGCCATGTCCTGCGGTTTCTCCAAAGTCAATGTGATTGAGTCCAACGTTGGGTCGGCTTTGGTGTAGTAGTACTCGAGGTTAGGTATCGGCGAGTTGTCTGACCACGTCTTTGTCTTACATACGTTAAGGCCTACAAAAATGACCAAAAAGTTATAGTTTGTTAACTATCACACAATCATATTTTATTCGCTGTACCATTTTTGACACAACAATTATGATTAATAATCAATGTTAAATTAACTATGAATTAAAGTGAAATTAACAATAATAAAGTTTTAATTGTTAATTAAGATATGCGTCTATTTTTTGATTGAATATAAGGTCTACCCGAATGGATAGACCGGTGCAAAAATTGCCGTTAAAGGCTCATGATAATGTCCCCCCGCACGGTAATCTTTAGTAAAAGGCGAAAGATTATTACGCGATTTGTGGAGAGACCTGAGCTTAAATCAATTCATCAAAACAACCAAGTTCCCATCGCCATTCAACTATATTTCATTACAGTAATTAAAGCCTTTTATAATACTTCATTTAGTTGTAATACTATATAATCTTAATTACTTTTACATTTATCATGTGGTAATTATATTTTCAAATTAAATTTAGTGTGCAGTTTGTAACTTTAAATTATATTAATTATTAAATTGATGGCTAAAGTGATTATTTTAAATAACATGTTTAATAAATTGACTGAAACTGTCGAGTATTGTATAAAAGTCAACACTAGATGTCACTCACAGTATCGTTAGGTCTATTGCCTTAACTGTGAACTGTCAGTAAATTGCCAAAACCTTGTTACTGATTTGGTGACCATGGTCATTGAATTAAACTATTGTAATGTGCACCATTTAATTTACAATTAATCATTCATCATGTGCAGTGTGCATATGAATAGTACCATTACTAATGTAAAGCATTTACTAAGTGTATGATTAATGACTTACCGAATAGGTGTCGGCAACGGGTGTTCTCATCGCTGGTCAGGCGTTCATTGGAGACCTCGTTGGACACTCGGGGCACTCCCAGACCGTCGATAAGCCGGGTCTGTTCGCGCAGTCGCAACAGTGTCTTCTTCTCTGCGGGCAAATTGAACTTCACTTTAAGTATGCGTCCGTCGATGCGCTCCGTCTGGACATCACTACTGGGGGTGACCTCCAGCCTCAAGTGGTACTCAAATCCTGGCCTATAATTGCGGACTTTGAGCCGTATTCCGGCCGACAGCTCGTCCAAGTAGTTACGGGCCGCTCGTATGCGACGGGTTTTGGTGCCGGCGCTCTCCTGCACACTGTGCTCGCCCTTCACCCCAATCACTAACGTCTCATTCAGGTTGATAAGCATCGGGAAACCGTTAAGTGTGGGCACTTCCACCAGACTGTCCAATAGGGACACCGCACGGGCCAAGTCTATGGTATCGGTTTTGTACATCTCTTTCAATCGGTTTCTGATCAAAGCGATGGCGTTATGGATGTCCTCCAATGTGTCCACAAATATGACGTTACGTCCGCCCAAACGCACCGACAGCTGGAGTCGAACGGTGTGTTCGTGCTTCGGGTCCTTCCATTGGTTGAGCGCTTCCATCAATTGTCCGGTCAATTGGACCAACACTTCGGGACCGCCGAAGCCCTTGGAGAAGATGTTACGGATTTGGTCGTCCAAACCCTGTTGACGGATCTGAATCTCAAATATCTGTATGTCTTTCTCTATAGGAAATCAAATGGTTGTTAATTAGTGTCAACACAAGTGTCCACTCAAACAGCACTCATACCTCCCATCGGATAGTAAGCGCCAAACGTGTAAAGGCTGGGAATCATCGACCCTTTCGGGTGGACGACATCGGACTCGAGACTCACTCCACGATAGCCCCACTCGACGTTACGTGTGATACCGAAGCCGGTGTTCTTGGGTTCGGCAATATTGGCCGCCTGTGCGACGAGTTTGCGGCGGTTAGCGCTGGAAGACTGTCTCAGATTACGGACGTGAGTGCGGATGTAGTTCTGCATCTGCGCGTCAGACACGGTGTTGATGGCGTCAAACTGTTCCTGCGATGCGCCCGACAGGACGATCGCCCGGTAGGCCACGGCTCGCACTTCGTTGGGCTCCGAGTCTTTCTGCAGCACTTCCAACAACTTCTGACGGATGGTGTCGTCGGCGACCCGTTGTAGCGCTTGAATGGCGGCAATGCGTACACCGGTGTCGGCGTCCGACTTCTGGGCCCACTCGAGGAGGGCGTCCTTTTGCGCCGGACAGCCGCAGCCGATCGTATCGATGGCCTTAATAGTGGTGATGCGTTCGATGTCGCAGTCGGACTCCTTCAGCTTTTTCAACAATGTTTGGCCCACTTTCTTGAATGCGGCCGAAGTCTCGCAGTTGTTGTCCAACTGTTTCTTGCAGTAGTTTCGGGTCATGAGAGCGACGCCCAGCACTAGGGGTCGGGGAGAGTGAGCCTTCTCTATGAGGGCGATGTACTGCTCGATTGTGCGCTCAGAGGGCCGAGTCTTGAGCGCCACTAAACTCAAGAGGAGTGTGATCTGGGTTTCCGTCAACTCTTCGTTCTTATAGGCGCTGATAATGGTCTGGAGGGAGGGGTCGGACGCGGCGAAAGCCGAGGCGCCGATAAACAGGTGTCTGAGTTTGGGTGAAGCGCAGAGTTCGCCATTCTTGGTGGCCTTGTCGAGGGTTCGGGTGCCCGACTCGGACAGAGTGCGCAATCCGTGCACCAACTCGTGGAAAGACTCGGTCACGTCGGCCGACAGTCGATCACCGCTCACCTGAGCGCAGGTGGTCTTCAACAGCGCCAACACTTGGGCTTCGGTCGCGTTTTTCTGGTCTTCGTTGTCGCGTGTAATGAGCAACGACTGAGCGTTTGTGCCGATCGCCGGTAGAGTGACCGCCGCTTTGGCCGCCGCTTTACCCACGGATCGCAGTTTTAGCGATGACTTAATGATGCCCTCGTCCTGGAAGGACAGTCTCTGCTCCTCAACACAGCTAACGCTGAAGAGATGACCCGATTTGATCTCTTGAGTGCACTTTTGGGTAGACTTAAGGATCGGTAGGTTTTCGCGCAAGAACTCAGTCAAGAGAGCCAACGATTTGGAGTGAAAGCCCGACAGGTTTTTCCTCCTGAGGTGACATCTGTTGAGATCTTTGGTTTTTTCGAGAATTAGATTCTTGGTATCGGTTATGTGTTCGCCGACCGGTGTGTATGTTGTGGTGCAGTGACCCGAGAAGTCCACCTCTTCGAGCACCTGCTTCTGTGTCAGGTCTTTGGTGCTCACCTGCAGAGCCGACAGCACCGACTTCTTGATGTTGAGCGTCCAGACGGCCTCCTGAGGGGCCGGACATACGCCCAGCACTTTGCCGTCGTGGGCGCCAAACCGCAGCTCAGGGCTGGCGTTGAGTTCTGCGCTCAACTCTTGCGGGTTCGGTACGCCCGACACCACTGAGTCCCTGATCTTGAGTGTGAACTCACACGGACTCAACACATTGACGTCCACTTTGGCCTTCAGGGACACAGTCTGACCCTCTTTCACATTGATGAGGGTCTCGCCGTCCAAGTCTATGGTGTAGACCTGTCCCACTTCGAAGGCATCGTATTTGGATATTGATTTGGGACATACTTGACCACAATTGGCCGGTTCTATGGGATGTTTGTGGTGGTAATCGTGAAAGCCGTGGTGACCCTCGTGATGATCCGCTTGCGCTATATTTAAGTATTCATTTGTTGTAAATTGTCATTTTTGTATTAGCATGATGGGCGCTTTGTATTTTAATATTAAGTTTGATGTGTATATTGATAATGTATTGTGTTTTCTAGATAATATAGTTTAGCCTAATACTTAAAAGTGTTTTAGTAAAAGTGAATTCATATCTTTATAATAACTGCAATTAAGATGCATGTGAAATATTTGATATAATTTGATTAATGTATGCACAGTATAGTTGTCTGCCCAATCCTTCCCTCTCATATATAATAGTGTCATTCATTAGTGTTTAGTGTAAATGAAGTAATAATTATTATCATCAAAATGAATGTCTATCGACTTTTTAGACTAATAGACTATTTGCTTCAAAATCAATGGGATTGACAACAACCTTGTGCTGCACTATAATTAGCAATTATAGCTCTCAATGTCTGGACAATTGACAAAAATATACTAATTTTATTTATTTAATACCATTTTATAATTGCTTATCATTTTGAGAGAGAGAGAGAGAGAGAGAGAGAGAGAGAGAAGGATTGGGTAGACAACTATACTGTGCATACATTAATCAAATTATATCAAATATTTCACATGCATCTTAATTGCAGTTATTATAAAGATATGAATTCACTTTTACTAAAACACTTTTAAGTATTAGGCTAAACTATATTATCTAGAAAACACAATACATTATCAATATACACATCAAACTTAATATTAAAATACAAAGCGCCCATCATGCTAATACAAAAATGACAATTTACAACAAATGAATACTTAAATATAGCGCAAGCGGATCATCACGAGGGCCACCACGGCTTTCACGATTACCATCACAAACATCCTATAGAACCGGCCAATTGTGGTCAAGTATGTCCCAAATCAATATCCAAATACGATGCCTTCGAAGTGGGACAGGTCTACACCATAGACTTGGACGGCGAGACCCTCATCAATGTGAAAGAGGGTCAGACTGTGTCCCTGAAGGCCAAAGTGGACGTCAATGTGTTGAGTCCGTGTGAGTTCACACTCAAGATCAGGGACTCAGTGGTGTCGGGCGTACCGAACCCGCAAGAGTTGAGCGCAGAACTCAACGCCAGCCCTGAGCTGCGGTTTGGCGCCCACGACGGCAAAGTGCTGGGCGTATGTCCGGCCCCTCAGGAGGCCGTCTGGACGCTCAACATCAAGAAGTCGGTGCTGTCGGCTCTGCAGGTGAGCACCAAAGACCTGACACAGAAGCAGGTGCTCGAAGAGGTGGACTTCTCGGGTCACTGCACCACAACATACACACCGGTCGGCGAACACATAACCGATACCAAGAATCTGATTCTCGAAAAGACCAAAGATCTCAACAGATGTCACCTCAGGAGGAAAAACCTGTCGGGCTTTCACTCCAAATCGTTGGCTCTCTTGACTGAGTTCTTGCGCGAAAACCTACCGATCCTTAAGTCTACCCAAAAGTGCACTCAAGAGATCAAATCGGGTCATCTCTTCAGCGTTAGCTGTGTTGAGGAGCAGAGACTGTCCTTCCAGGACGAGGGCATCATTAAGTCATCGCTAAAACTGCGATCCGTGGGTAAAGCGGCGGCCAAAGCGGCGG